TTGGGCAGCACCTCCAACTCCCTGCACATCCTGATGAAGTTGGATGGGTTCTGGTTCACCAGGGCTCTCCACTGTGTGAGCTCCCTGCTGCCCACATCAGGCCGCACGTGTTGCTGAGCTTCACATCTGTCCTCAGCTCTTTGTAACAAACGCTCCTCATCTTTTTTAGACACAACCAGCAGCACACCGGATTCCTCAAACGTCTCCCTCACGGCGCAGATCCTCAGGGCGACCTCTCCCGGAACAGGGGAGCCCAGTTTTCGGCGGTCAGTCGCGAAGATTGGGGGTCTGCGCTCCACGGGCTGCTTTACTGTTCTTAACCCAAAACTGGGGGAGCTAGTGAAGGATTTGAAAACGTCCAACCAGTCGCTTGAAAAGTCCGAAGAGTCGACCATGCCGCCAGGAAACACATAGGCATTAGGCATAAATCCGCTCTTGGAGCTGCGTTTGAGCAACAAAACGTCGTAATCAAAGTCGGACCTGTGGTGCAGGAGTGACCCTCCGTCACCGCCGACCCCCGGAGTCCGACATGATAACCCTTCCGCGCCGAGCTTGTGTCCTGCGGCTAAAATGACTGTAGCCGCCTCCCTCCAACGCTTCAGCGCCGTGTTCATTATCAAGCTAATGGATTTTTACACAGTTCGCAGCACAGACATTTACATGTATATGGTTTGCAACCTCTTAAAGTTTACTTCCTGTTGTCTTTGAGCCGCTGTTCGCTTTGGTGACGTAATTAACGACAGATGCGCGTTATTACCGCCCCCTACCGACCGGATGACCTGCAGTTTTTTTTTTTTTTTTTTAACTTTATTGAACTACTGAACATACAGAACAAAAGAACACAAATAGAACAACAAATGACAATCTCAAATTACAATGATACATATAAACATATACAAATATACCTCCTAAGGTCAACATATTCTAAAACGAATTATCATATCATCATAAACTTAAAAATGAGGTAATAATACTATTTGAGAGTTTGCAAATAATATAGTACAGTAAATTAAACAACCAACTATTTATCTAAGAATCTACATAATTACTAAAATAATTTGTCAGAGGGCTATATTACCTGAGCGAGGTGATCAGAGAGCTTTTTTGCTTGTGGTTTTTTAGCACAGTCTAATGAAAGTTTTAACAACTGGAGTTCTTGTTTGAATACAGACCATAATGGTTTAGACTTGCCATATCTGCATTTATGTATATAGAATTTCAATATTATGATAATGTTAATGTTATTCAGTCTTTTTTATTTTCAGATACATAGCCATATAATATATTCTGAACGGAGAAGGAGTCTATGTTCATAGATTTGATGGTCAGGAGATCGTGAAGGGATTTCCATAACGTGTTCACAGAATGACAGAAATAAAATAAATGTTCTGTTGTTTCAGGTTCGTTACATATATAACAGTTATCACATTCAAATTTAAATCTATTTCTGATAAACTCGTTAGAAGGATAAATATTATTTAGAGTTTTGAAATGTAATTCTTTATATTTAGATGGAAGAGGGAAACCCAGATATGTTGTCAGTATTTTTATTCTTTCCTTCTTATCATAGAAATCGTGAAACTTTCTTCTTACCTGACCAGGATATATTGTTTTTATTAAATGTTGTCTTAAAAATTTGTTGTTGCATTTATTGTGCGTTAAATTGAGATTGATGCTCGGTAAACTAATAGTTGGTTTAGTTTCATAATTATTCTTTATTAACTGAACAAATGCAATTGGTATATTTTTTGTTACTTTATCATAGTCTTTTTTGGTACAGATTAGATTATATTTTTTTGTGAATTCTTCATAGTCATATAAATTTCCCTTTTCATCCATGAGATGAGTGAGTGACCATATTTGTTTCTCCATCCATGTTTCCAGACCTGCAGGTGAAGCTACAAGTCACAATTGTTTTCGTGCTTTTTACAATTCATACCGTTGAAACGTCGGTTTATTTACCCTTAAATGGTGCTACTTCTGTTAGGAAAGCAGCAAAGTTCAGTATGTGGATTTTGCCCATGTAAGACTTGCAAATCTACTCTGTCAATCCAAAACTGCGTCTTTTTTTTTCATTCATTCAACCTTTATTTATACAGTCCCATTGAGCCCCAGGGAATCATTTACACTCATTTACAACCTGATTTCTTTAACAAAGAGTGGATGACAACGACAACAAAAGACAGTCACAAAAGAGATATACAAATGTATTTATTTATTTTATACAGATCAAAACAAAATAGCAACCAACAGGACAGTCAAAAGGAAAAGTAGCGAAAACAAACAAACCAAAAAAACCCCAGCTAGATTATAAATCAGTGTAGAACACTAAAGACAGGAACATGTCTGCATTACTTAAGAGATGTTTAATGTCACTTAGAGAGGTCAAGGTCAAGAGCTTCAGATCTTTTTGCAAGATATTCCAGGAAACAGGAGCGGAGTAGGAGATGGCCCTTTTGCCTAGTTCAGTCCACACTGAGGGAACACTGCAGGTAATAATGTCCTGGGAGTGCACGCTGTAGCTGCACTCACGCAGTGACATGTAGGA